ATATTTGGCAGAAGCTGCTACATCCTAATGTTTGGGCAGAATTTTCATATGCCAATTTATGTAATCTCATTCAACAAAAGCTTATCCACAAAACCCATCTTAAAAAGTATGATTGGCCTCTATTTTTTTGGTATTACATGCTGATTGATTTGGAATGAAAGAAATAATCTCATCTTTTTTTATAAAAGTATATCTGAAGAGGTTGTTATTAGAAAAGTCAAAAATTTTCTTAATAACTACAGGGATGCTCAATTGAAATTGGCCAGGGCTGCCCATCATCCTAAATGCAAAACTGTTGTGCAAATAAAATGGCACACCGTTGACCCTGATAGGATCTAGCTGAATGTTGATGGTTCCTGCACCAATGGAGGAAAACTTACAGGCTGTGGCAGAGTGTTTAGAGATGAAGAAACATCTTGGAGGTATAATTATAGGGTATCTTTACTAGTCTAAGTATAGCTTGGGAGCAGGCTTTTAGAATAATTATTTTGGAGAGTGATTCTACAACAACTTTGGAATTCATTCAAAAAGATTGCAACTTGACCCACCCTCTGTCCTGCCTTTTATTAAGGACCCAAGAGCTGCTTGAAAGGAATTGGGAAATTAAAATTTCTCACAATTATAGAGTGGCCAACAAGGTAGCTGATTGGATGGCTGGCCAAGCTCATTTACATGGATAGCCAAGCTCATTCACATGGCTGACCAAGCTCATTTACATGGCTAGGAGACTCAATTATCTAGACCAATTCCAAATGGTTGTATAAATTTTTCTTTAATGATCTTAGGGACATTTCTTGGCCCAGAACTGTAATCCCCAGCTAGTGCTATCTTTTGTTTCTTATGTATCCAAAAAAAAAGTGCAGTCTATCCAAAGGGATAGTGAGTTACAATACAAATTCATTCCAAAGGTTATGTCTCCGTGAGATTCTATTAATTTGATTCTCAGTTACGTGTCACTTTTCATAAACTCTTCAGATTCAACATTTTCCATTATTAATCAATGCAGGAAATTGCTGAAGGCCTACTCCAAGTACAAAAATAGTGCCGATATTGTCTCTTTGACTGTCACAAGAGAGTCAGATTCCAAGGGCTCCTAAGTGATAACGAATGTAAGAGGGTATGTGTTGCCAAAATATCTTTTTTAACACAATGGATCAATGACTAATTAATCTCCACTAATACATTCCAAACTAATATGAGATTTCACCGCTCACACTTAAATTTCAAACAATAAATTCACCCATTGCTCCTATATTGTCTCGCTCATTTTCTCAATTTTTATTCTATTTGCTTATAGCATAACAAATTTTTCTAATGTTGATATATATAAGTTGTTTTGTTCGCTATCAATATGTTTTATTATAGGTTCATAAGGGCACATATATTATATATTACAAAATATTGTTACCTTTAGATGTTTCATATATTAGGAACTTGTGCTAAGGTGTTCTTGTGTTTTTTTTTTGTACATCAGAGGGGTTATTACCTCAAAATAAATAGAAGAAAAAGAAACAAAAGAAGAAACCAAAGACAACAAAGAAAAGCAGCAGAAAACTATTCAGAAGCAGAGCTGATCCATCTCCATGATCAAGGATATCCGCCAATAACAAAGGAAACAACCTCTGATTAGGAGAAGAATAAACTAAGAGGCCAAAATAGTTATTAAGAGCTTCTTTAGCCATCCAGTCCGCACACCTATTGAGAGATCTACGAACATAGGAAAGGGAAACAGACCAATCCTTGTTCAAAAAATCCTCGATCTTAGTTATCAAAGGGAGCTTACGGGAATCATTACCATATTCGGTAAGAGAGCTTAAAGCTTGTAAAGAATCACTCTCCACATCAACCTTTCTCCAGCCACTGTCCCAAGCAAAAGTTAAACCGTGGAGAAGAGCCCATAACTCTACTATAAAAGGAGAGCAAGAACCTTAAACCATGGAGAAAAGCCTTTGTGTTTTCTAATGACGCGTTAATACTTGTGACATTTAAAAGTGAGAGTCAAAACTTGTCTGATTGTGAAAATGAGCTTCCACTTCTTTTAAAGAACCTACATCAATTGAACATAATGAAAGTGATAAATCTCTTAACACAAGACATTTATGCATGCGGAACAAATTGTAGGCAAGTGATTAGCTATGCATCACTTTCCTATTGTACGTTTATTTTATTTTTAAATTAGCATTTAATTTTTGATTAATTCATTTTTTTCTTTTTGTCTTTAACAAAGGCTTAATTCAAATGTTTGGAATGAGTCAATTTTGAATAAAACTCTTATTTATTTTCTTAAATGAAATATTTGAGTATTTAACATGTTAAAAATTTATGAAAAAAATATAAAATTTCCATTTTTTATTAATATAAGGTAATATATGAAAAAAATGTTATAAAAATTCCTAGAAAGACAAAAGGAGATAATGTGCCTATGTACAAACAAAAAAAATTATCCAAAGAAAAAAAAGTAGCGCAAATAGAAGCATATTAATTTGTCACGACTTAATACAAGGTAGATCTTAATGTACAATGGCATTGGTTCTCTTGTACGTGCGTATATATTTTAAAGCAATCTATTTAATTAATATTACGAATAAGTTAAAGTTCATAAATACTCTCCACCCAAAAAAAGTTCATAAATACTTTTTTTAATTCAAAAAATAACTTTAAATAGAAATTCTCCAATATAGATACAAAGAATGTTGAAAAATAATTAAATTGTGTTAATATAATATTACTTTAATTTAATGAAAATTTTTCTTATTGACACTTTAACCTTATGTATTTAGTTATACCATTAGTTGTTTACTTGTGACGATTTTATAATATTAATAATAATATATAAATACAAATATGTTAATACTAACAATATAATTAAAGATATGGAAAAGTCCTTCATCAAAAAAAAAAAAAAGATTGAGAAAAGTGTGTGTCCTTTAGATAGTGTTTGGTTGAAGGTTTATTTTAGGATTGATGGGAAAATGTAGGTGGATATTGGAAAATACCACGTTTGGTTCAGGTTTTTTCAAGAAATACCAGACAAATAGGATAGATGGGAAAATGACTTTTGTGTTGATTTTTGGATGAAATTCACTGTTACAGAATACCACTTGAGATGCGGTATTGTGAGATGACTGGGGAAGTGAAAAAACAGGTGCAAAGTTTCTCCCGAACATAGATTTTGCATATTTAAATAAATTTTCCCGGTAATATTTGGGTCAACCAAACAACTTTTTTTACATTTTCCTATCAAACTCACTTTCCAACCATTTTTCTGTCAATTACATTTCCCTAGTAAAAAAAAAATTTCTCCCGAACCAAACACTACCTTAAAGAACACACACTTTGATCATTTTAAGAGAGAGGTAGATATAAAGAGATGGAATCCATATTTTTATTATTTTTTTAATTTTTCAGTGAAACCCACACCTCTCCTAGAATAACCTAAGTGAGGACACACATTTTTTCTTTAAAAATAATTGGCAATTACCAACTATGTGCGAGCTTGTTAAATGAATGGTATTGGTGCGTGCGTGCATTATTTTAAGTTAAATTAAATTTATTTTCACTTAATAAAAAATTATGGAATATAAAATTTAAATTTATTAGTAAAACTTGTATATGATATAAAAATAAATCGTGCTTTTTTAAGACTTTTTAAGAAAATAATTATAAAATTTAATATATTAAATTTTTCTAGTATTTTAAAATTTAAATTTATCTTATCTTTTATATTATCTTAAAATAAGTCATAATTAAATTTAAAATATTTAAATAAATTAGCATTTAATTTTTCTGAGCATGAAGTGGAGGATAGTTACCAGTAGTCTAGTATTATAGAGCAATATAAATTTTTCATTTTCATTTTATTTATTTATTTTAATATACATGTATATTATTTATTTAATATTTATATATTTTTTAATTCTACTTTTTGGAATAAAAATGAATTTAAAAATATTTATGTTGAAAATATAGAAATAATTTCAAATATTATTTATTATAGTTAAAATTAATATTATGTATTTATGATTCAGAATCTCAGATGTATTTATGTACATTATTAACCCATGTCATTAGCAGAAATTTCTGTCTGTATTGTGTTTTATATAAATTTTATTAGTAATTTCTCATTAAGATAAATTAGTATATTAAAAAATGGAAAAAATATTTGTCATTTTAAATGACACAAATGAAACTACGTTGTTTTAGTAAATTTTTACAATCTCTCTCCTCAATTTTCTTTTTATTTCTAATTTTATATATTAGAAAAAAGATCAGTCAGTCAATGTAGAAACTTATCTAATGGTGAGCTCAAAACGACGTCGTTTTGAGGTGGAAATCAAGGTATTTTTGTAATTATAATTTATTTCAAGGTTATAATAGTGTTTTTATTATAATTTTTTAAATTTTCAACCCAAAACGACTTCGTTTTGGGAGCGAATGTAGATAACTTATCTACATTCATTTTAGAAATATTACAACCTTAGAAAAAATGATAAAACACACCAAAACGACGTAGTTTCGTTAAAAAAATATATACAGAATAAAATAGATGTAGAAAATTACGGATATATTTAATATAGATAATAGTTGCATTTGATACGCCGATAAAATGGAATGAAACTTTTGGTTCTATTATGTTTTTTTTTCCTATTCTTGTGAAACCAAAATGTATCATTTTTTTTTTTTATCATATTTTAAGTTCTATTTTATTTTTATAATACACTAAATAAGAAATACCAAATACTAATAGCGTATAGTTATATTCTATATTTAATATATTTTGAAAATGAGACAACACAAAATATTAAATTAAAAAGTGACACATCTTAATTTCACTAAATAAAATAAATTTGTTTCATTTTGTTCCACACCAAACACTAGGTAATAGTCATCCCAGCCATTGCCACGTGTTAAGGGTGTTATCGGCATTGCAATGACCAAATCTTAATGCTACTTCAGGTTTCATCACAGAACGGAACAAAGGACCCCCTCTTTCTCCTCAAAAGAAAACGAATAAGAAAAAGAGAGAGAAAGAAGCCCTAGAAGGCTTGAAAAAGAATTAGCGAAGCAGTTTCTCACTTCCCAAAAATCTCACCCTTCAAATTTTTTTTTTTTTTTTTAGGATAAAACATTTGCTGATATTGAATTTTAATTTAGCGTATTTGGTTTTGTATTTTTTGATTTTGGTTTAGACATTATATATGTTTCGGTGTTTTCAGGAAAAGGAAAGGAGTACAAAGAGTAAATTGAAGAGAGTGCATTCGTTGTTGTTATGTTCGGGACTTTAATCTTCGATGCCTCTCTGTTTCTTCTTCTCTAGTGTGCTCGCTTTTCTCTTCTCAAATTAGGGTTTCCATAAGCAATAGCGTCGAGCCTCTTTCTCGATTTCCCCCAAATTATCATCATTCTGAGTAATTTCCTATTCTCTTTCTCTCAGTTGAAAAATGAACCTTTTTTTTTTTTCGTTTTTTTATTCATCTATTGCCGAATATTATTTTCTTTGAAATTGCATGTGTACTTATATGTTTTGTTGGTTTGGTTCTCTTGGATCTTGCCCCTAGCACTTTGGGACTCATTTATCTTTCTTGACCAAAATCTTTCATCAAGGTTGTAATTTTAACGAATAATTTGTATGCATCAGCTTGTTTTACGCATTCAGTTCAGTTTGCAGTGATTTATGACAAACCATGTCCTTATTTTAGGTTATATGCTGTTTGAATGATAGGTTGTTTGTTTCTCTGTTGTTGATTATGTATCACATTTTAATTGCTGAATCCAGGTTAAGGAAGGTGATTGGTGATTTGTATTTGGATATAATGTCATCAAGATATCCAATTCTTGACAATCGGCCCATTCATCAGTGGAAGGTTACTGAGCTCAAAGAGGAGCTGAAGAGAAGGAAGTTAACTACGAAAGGTTTGAAGGATGATTTAGTCAAGCGTTTGGATGAAGCCCTTCGTGTTGAAAGGGAGGCTGCTGAGGCTTCTCAGAAGGATGAGGCCAATGGATTCGATGGTCATGTAGCTGAGGTAAAGGATTCGCAGGAAGTTGCTGTGGATGCTGAAGAAGTTAATATAATTGAAAGTGAAAGTGTCAAAACAATTGAAACTGCTGAAAAAGGGAACAGCGATGTAGTTGAACCGATTGAAACGGAAAACACAGAAAAGATTCCGGAGGTTGTGGATAATGACAGCAATAAGAATGACAAGCAGGATGATGCTACCAAAACATTTGAAACTGCTGAAAAAGGGAACAGTGATGTAGTTGAACCGATTGAAATGGAAAACACAGAAAAGATTCCGGAGGTTGTGGATAATGACAGCAATAAGAATGACAAGCAGGATGATGCTACCAAAACATTTGAAACTGCTGAAAAAGGGAACAGCGATGTAGTTCAACCGATTGAAACGGAAAGCTCAGAAAAGATTCTGGAGGTTGTGGATAATGACAGCAATAAGAATGACAAGCAGGATGATGCTACCAAAACATTTGAAACTGCTGAAAAGGGGAATAGGGATGTAGTTGAACCAACTGAAATGGAAAACCCGGAAAAGATTCCGGAGGTTGTGGATAGTGACAGCAATAAGAATGACAAGCAGGATGATGTTACCATCCCAGTTGACATCAATAATAGTGTGTCAGCCATGGATGAAGAGTTTGAGCATACGGGCTTGCCAGCTGGTGTAGATTCATCTAATGTGGGTGAAGAGCTAACTACTCATGCTTCTGCTGTGGAGACCACCATTACAGTCACTGAGAGTGTGTTAACAGAAGCAGTAGACAGTGGTCAGTATTCTTATAGTGCAGAAAAGAATAATGATGATTCAACAACCAAGCTGGAGAATGAGGAGTTAAAGGTGCAGCTGGATAATGAGGACTCGAAGCCCCAAATGGAGTGTGACACAAAGCCCCTGTCCGAGGATCTCGTGCCCAACTCTTCTGTTCCAGAAAACCAGGTATCTGAGGTCAACCCTAGTTTAGGGTCTCAAGTAAAATCTGATTCTATTTCTACTGATTCTGTGTCAATTAATCAAAAGAATGAACTAAAGGATACTATAATTACTGATAATGTCAAATTAGAACAAGATATTGTTAGGCCGGAGATGGTGGAAGAACCATCATCCAGAAATGATGTACCCGTTTATGATGAATCACATTCAATGGATGGTGGAGGACTGCATGAGAAAAAGGCATCTGTTGAAGAAAATAACAATAATATTACAAGTCCAGACTTGAACAAAACCAATAGCAGTGATGATGTGGGGTATCCAGAAAAGTTGAACTTGGACCGAAGTTCTGGTGATGATTCCATGGAAGAGGATTTGCCTGAGACTAAGCAATTTGATTCTAAGTTTAATGTTGATGAACTTAGAGACAAAGTGGAGAGTATTGAAGTGCCGATTGTGAAAGAGGAAAACATTACTATAGTTGTGGGAGATGGTCTATCTGCAGGAAAAGGTGATACCCACCAAGATATTGACATTAGTCCTGTTGCTTTGGCTGAGAAACGAAAATTTCATGGTAAGCATCATATATTTCTTCTCTTTGTCCTCTGAAATAGATTTTTTCTTTTTACTTTTTTAAATTTAATGGTTGCATTCCTAAGGGCAAACAACAAATTATATGTGCAATATATGTTGCATTCCTGGTATGCTGTTGTTATTATTTGTTCTTAGTGATAAATAAGCTTCTTTTTTGTATGTTTTAATCACCCTGAATTATATGGGATATTTTGTCACAGAACAAGCATCAGTTGGGAACAGTGAGCCTACAAAAAGGCAACGCAGGTGGAACACTGAAACAGTTAAAGGACCAGATCCGCAGAGCACCACTCCCAGACCTGCTACCACACCCAAGGATGAGCCAGTTGCTCTGAAACGCAACTTCGCCAGGTCTGATTCCTCTGCCACTGATGATGCACCTAAAGAACGCAGTGGTAAGTTGACATTATTTTGATTGGGGTAAACCTGTGAAGAACTGGCACTCCTGTTTCTGGTGTTGTATTAATGGATATCAATTTTCAATTCTTAACTTAGTAGCTCAAATAAATAAATGAATAAATAATTTCCTGGCACTTTCAAATTTTAACTCTGGACACTTCTCAAAGCACATTTTGTGCACATCTTAAACTGATAAATTTTTTCGAAGATACATTATAACTTATTGGTTGATTTTCTGTGCATGTATGCATTTACTTAGAGAGATAAGGCGTGGTTGTTATTTGTTGTTTTATGCATTTACATAATTATATTTCTGGTTGTTGTCATTGCGGTATGTGTTGTGTCTTCTTTCTCTCTGCTTTTTAAGTCTAAATAATGTTATCTTTAATTTTTGGCAGTTCCACCATCACAAAGGTCCCCAACTAATTCCCTCAGGATTGACCGTTTCCTCCGGCCATTTACCCTGAAGGCAGTTCAAGAACTTCTTGGTAAGAATGGGAATGTTAGCAGTTTCTGGATGGACCAAATAAAGACCCATTGCTATGTCACTGTAAGACTTGCTTCTTATCTCTTTGCCTGCCTTCTACTGTAAATTCCCACCTGATGTTATTGCATTTATAATATAATTCTAAGTAATCTTTTGTTGTTTTTTGGTGCAGTACTCGTCCATTGAAGAAGCCATTGAGACACGAAATGCTGTGTATAATTTGCAATGGCCTCCAAATGGTGGTCGCCTCTTAGTTGCTGAGTATGTTGATCCTGAAGAAGTGAAAATGAAGTTAGAAGCTCCTCCTACTCAGGTTGCCTCTGTCAACATTGTTCCAACAGTTCCTCCAGCACCACCTTCCTCAAAGCCAGAACCGTCCCCCCGTCAGCACAGGGAGCAACATACAGTTCCAGTTACTCTCCCGCCTCCACCACCATTGTCAAAGCCCCCACCAGTGGCAAGAGAACGGCTTCCATCCCCACCACCCCTTCCTGAGAAAGTTGACCCACCCATTGTCACTCTCGATGATCTCTTCCGCAAAACCACAGCAACTCCTCGGATCTACTATTTACCTTTGTCTGAAGAGCAAGTTGCCGCAAAACTTGCAGCACAGGGTAAAAGCACGAGGCAGTAGGCTATTAGCCTACAATTCATCCTTGGCAGCTTTAACGGTTTTTTTTTTTTTTTTGGCTACCGTGTTAGTTAGTGGTATGGAAGTATTGTGAATGCATTTTGCGATGTCTGCTGGGGTTCGCCTCAGGAAGAATTTGTCATTGCCAATGCATCTTGAGACTTTATTTGTTTAGTTTTAGAACGTCATAAACTAAGATCTACTTGGGTGGATAGATTTTCACCGCTGTTTGAATTAATTTAAAGTGAACCATTGTCAAAACATCTTGAACTTCGACGAAAGAAATTGACGTTAGATAATGTTTTTCTCCTGCCATGGAACTGAATTATGGGATCGCTGCGTTAATTGTGCTTAGCTTTTTCTTGATGAGTGTTTTCTTTTGTTGAATGCCATTTTATATCAGTGTGTTGGTTGAGCACACTGTTTCTCTTCACCAAACCTCGTGGTGTGTTTGACATGCAGGAGTCTGTGGTCTGGCTCCGTTAGGAAGGTTGATTAGCAGATTTATGGGTTGATTTGCCAACGCATCCTTCATTCTGTGACCTGTGTTTGATATAAAAAATCGTAGGATATATGGTGCGAATTATGTGCTGATGTAGTTATGGAATCTGATACAATGATGCTATTTCAGAAGATTCCACAATACTTGTATAAAATTTCTCAGTGCAAGCAAATTTGTGGGAAGAGGAAGGGGAGGGGGTTTATAATAGCTTAAGTGCAACAGTATTCGTAAATTTTAAATTTTAAATTTGAAGCAAATGCTTCAAAGAATAACTAAAAATATAATGAACCATTTATGTGTAGGGAAGTTAGGGTTCCAATGATAATGGGGTGGATAATTTAGAGCTGTGAAAACTTGATAGATGGCTCATTTGAATCTTTAGCCTATTTTTTTCGGGAGTGGATCCTCTCATGTGAAAAAGTGGTCATGTTATTTGATCACAACTACTCATTTAAAAATTATACAATTTTCTCTTTCTTATCTCATCATGAATGAGTGATTGTGATAAAAAAAACATGATCACATGATCACTTTTTCACATGAGAGGATCCACTCCCATTTTCCCCTTATGTTTGTGCAACTATGAGTCATTTGAATCTTTAGCCTATTTTTTACGGGAGTGGATCTTCTCATGTGAAAAAGTGGTCATGTTATTTGATCACAACTACTCATTTAAAAATTATACAATTTTCTCTTTCTTATCTCATTATCAATGAGTGATTGTGATAAAAAAAACATGATCACTTTTTCACATAGAGGATCCACTCCCATTTTCCCCTTATGTTTGTGCAACTATGAAATGAAATAAAAATTGTATAATTAACTCGAAGCAAATAGATAAAGTATTTTTCAAGTTAAAATAAATAAATAAATAAAAGTTTATTTTTCTTGAATCTAGAAAAAAAAAAAAAAAAGATTTTGCGCCAAATGGCCCAACCCCGAACTTAAACCTCTCTAAGTAACGTATCGTTCTTCTTCTTCTTCTGCTGCTGAAACTCTTTCGTGCTTCCATCTCCCCCCCTATTCTTCTACACGCAAAAATTAATGAATCGTTCTTAGGGTTTTGCGAAATCTACAATACCCCGTATCCTCCTTCACTAATTCCTCGATTCTCTTCTCTCAGAGCAAACGGTTCTCTCCCTCTGTTTCTTCATGTCTCTGTGAACCCAAAACGTGGTCGTTTTGATCAGTCCCGATTCCCCAGCCCATGCATTGTTGCTACTGGTATCTCAGCTCAATTCCTTCTCCTTTATGCTCTGCATTCGCTTAATTATTCGGGTTTCGTTGCTTTGCACTCGTTTTTTTTATTTTTTTTATTAGCGAATTGGGTGATGATATTGATATTGAAGCTTGTTATGGTCCCAATTCTGTTCTAGGGTTTTATTATTCGAAAATTGAGACTTTCCCTGGTTTGTTTTCGATAAATTGGTTTTGTAGGGGCACAGGGTTTCGCTTATATCATTTCTGGTGAGGGAAAGAGTTGAACATGAATAGCGTTTTCAGCGAGCAGATACTTGTGGACAAGCTTTCCAAGCTTAATAGCACCCAACAGTGCATTGAAAGTATCCTTTTTTTTGTTTTCTATTACTTGATTAATGTTGTTGTTGTTGTTGCTTTGGGATTCCAGATTCAGCACTGGGATCAAGCTATCTGCTGTGACTTGTTCTGCTTGAACTAGGACTATTTGGCTGTGCTTCATTAACTTGTTTTTGGTTACTGAATGAACGTTCTTTGCTAATTCTTTGCATTGATTATCTGAATTTTAGATGAATAAGGAACACCAACCGTTGTGTCAAGGTCTATATATGTTCTAATTAATTGAAACTAAACTACTATATATATCGAATATGTTTACCAAACTTGGTGGCATCTCTGATAAATGACCTAGGCTGGCAGTAGACAATTCAAATCCGGAGTCAGGAGTTTCATATAGCCAGTTAACTTCGGTATGTTAATTTGGTAAACAGTTTTGGTGTTAATAGTGTTACCCTTTTCAGAATTACTGTTTCAATTTGATAATCTTGGGATAATGTAAGGATTTACTTATGTTTTCAGGTGCTCAAGGGAATTGTTTTGTCTTTCAATTTTCCAGGTCGTCTTTTATTCATGAATTGAGAATAACTATTGTACTACAAGTTTTAATTGCTTGATTCAGATTATTATTGTGGGCGTAGCAAATGCACATTTATAGTTGCCCAAACATAATACTATGAGATGTTATGATCCTTTTCATGTTTGAATGACTTGAATTTCTCACAAGCAAATTATTCGCTTTAGCACAAATTTAGTAGACTTTATACTATTATTTTACGATACAAATGATGAAGGAAGAGAAACAAATGCATTTTTTGGCACAAAGCCCTTGGACTAATTCTTGTTTCATGATACCAAGTCAAATTATTGGAACATCAGAATTTGTCACTTATGTTTCATTTTTAAGACTAATTGGTAGGTGTATATGGTGAATGTGGAGTAGACTTTTTTTAATTAGTCTTTTGACATGAATTTTATTTTATTCTTTAAAACAGTTTAGTTTTACTGCATATTTAGCTTCAATTAATTTTATGAATCACTGGTTGTTAACATAACACAATGGTGTCTTTTTATCCATGTAGCTGACAACACCTAGTGGTAAAGGCTTTTTGTTGTTGTTATGCATATTAGTTGTTAATGTGATGTATGTTGTTATCGTTAACTTTTGGTATAGCTTTATCACACTGGTGTATATTTCACCAGAGCAAAGCAGAACTTGTTGTTGCAAATTGGAAAAAACAATTTGACAAATCAGAGATGGTTCAAAGAGTTCCCCTTCTGTATCTTGGAAATGACATCCTGCAGAACAGCAAGCGTAAAGGAAATGAATTTGTTACAGAGTTTTGGAAGGTTCTTCCAGCAGCACTTAAAGATGTTATTGAGAAAGGTGATGATCATGGAAAGCACGTGGCATCTAGACTGGTAAGCTCCTTTTACCGTGTTTGATGTAAGTATTCAAGTGAATACAACCATGCCAATCAATAAATGGAAAAAAGGGGTGTGGAAGAATTGAATATAAAGTCGTTGCAGATAGATTTTCATGCATGGGTGAAATTTCGGATATGGCATATAAATGCTGATCATATGATTTGCATACCATGATATTGGTCTATTAACTTGGTTCATACCTAACTTTAGGTTGAAATATGGGAGCAAAGGAGAGTGTTTGGATCTCGAGCTCGGAACCTTAAAGATCTAATGCTTGGAGAAAAGGTACCTCCACCGTTGGAATTCAGGAAAAAGCGATCACGTTCTATAAGAATTATGAAAAGGGATTTCCGCTCCATCAAATCGGTGAGAGACTGAGTTACTTGGGGCCTTTGTGGCTCCACTCCCGCCTCTCCCCATTTCATAGTTAAATCATTTTATTGATGCTAGATGATTACATACTTTGAAGTGTTTTACAATGCTTCTTTCATATCTCACTTCCATGATATTGTATTGATGCCAGAAATTGTCCGTAGGAGGTACAGCAGAAAAAATAGTGTCCGCATTTCATTTGGTGTTCAGTGAACAATCCATTGAAGATGCCGAGATGAGTAAATGCAAGTCTGCTGTTCAGCATGTGAGGAAGATGGAAAAAGATGTTGATATCGCATGCACTATTGGTAAGCATACAACAGAACTGAAGTAACACCTGAATTTTGGAAATTAGGATTCTAATATTGCTTTGTTTTTCAGCTAAGGATCCTAAACGAAAAACTTTGTCAAAGAAACTAGAGGAGGAAGAAAATCTCCTGAAGCAATGCATAGAAAAGCTTAAATTAGTTGAAGCAAGTAGAGTAGCGCTTGTATCTCAGTTAAAAGAAGCTTTGCATGAGCAGGTAAGTTATAATGCCCATGTGGTCAATAATTTTCTGTATTTACATTCTGCAGTTATTAAGTCTTTGGTTGTTTATAACTGCATCTTCTTTCTATTGTTTGTGTGTATTTGTACTAGGAATCTGAACTAGAGGATGTTCGTACTCAGATGCAGGTATGGACTATTCATGATTCTTTTCCACTGAAGGCTGTCGTATTTTGACTAGTTTCTTATCAGATGTGAAAGTGATATTCGTTGATCATTTATTTTGGTTCCTCACCATTTAATTACTTCTCTAATGGTGTCTCTAAGAAGTTGTAATTAAGCATATGGTGAAGTTACTGCAGTGCTCATGTTGTGGACAGTTTCAAAACATTTAATAGAAGAAAAAATAACATTGATCCGACCTCCCTTGAAGTTTATGAAACCTACTCAAAACACCTCTCTCTCTCTCTCTCTTTTCAGGGGATTGGGTTTGGAACAAATTTAAATGAGAGGTGATGCTTGTCTGATGAAAATTTAAAAGGGGAGGTCAGTGAAATTTCTTAAACTAGAGTAGAGACTGGGTGTTTGCTTAAGTTTCATAAACCCTAAGGGAGGTCAGTGTAATAAGCTCTATTTATAAAGAAAAAAAGCAGTTTCGGTTGGTGAATTACTCAGTGAAGGACGCACAAATCTGGAGTAAATAAGTTCTTGTTACGCGTCGAGTGCCATTTATTACTTGTTGAGTCTGCTTTCCTTACCGGAACTTGGATATGATTTGGCTAATAAAATGTTAACAAATTTAAACTTTATGCTTATATATCTGATTAATGATACTATAGGTTGCACAAGCACAAGTAGAAGAGGCTAGCAGTATGCGGGAGCGACTTGATAATGAAGATTCTTCACAGAAAGCATCCACTGCAACAACTTCAGCTACTGATGCAAATGCAAAATCAGCAGCAGCAACTAAAAAGTCAGCTGCAACAATAGCTGCTGAAGTTGCAGACAAGCTTGCAGCTTCTTCGTCATCTCAATTGATCATGGCTTCTGTTCTCTCAACATTTGCAGCAGAAGAGGCAAAAAATGCTGGGCAAACCTCTGAGTCCACATCAAAACATGAGATGTCAATGCCTAGTTCAGATCCGCATATCTTTATGTCCTCACAACAGTTGATTGCCGCACCAAACCATTCATATCCTTCAGTTCTGGTAACGCAACAAACCATGCAGAATGCAGCAGTCCCTTCATCACAAGGTCAATATCACATGCTTTGTAATCCATCGTCCCAGCAATACGTGCAGTCAACAGGTGGGGCTATCTCTCCATATGGTTATGGTAGCATCCCATCATTACCACCAGTACCGCCCCCACCCCATGTGGTGGGGACAATGGTGCCTTTGACATATCAGACACTGCAAACAACTCAGCATCAAGCAATACCAATAACCCAGCAAGCCCCAGCACCTCTTAATTTCCAGCCACTTCAGCCACCAGGAATGGTGTACTATCCTAATTACCAGCATTCTATATGAGACCTACAGACTACATTAGCTAGACTGTAGTCAACATGACCTTTTTTTGAAACAAGCGAATTCTGGAGATTGGGAATTTTATTTTTTTGCCAATGGTACGCTGGGACTGGAACTGAGCTCGCATTTGTATGGAAGCAAGACTACCAGATTTCCCCAGGGATGTGAAAGGAAACTAGGGGGTGTTTGGTAGAAGAGAAAATTTTTTTTACCAGGGAAATATAATTAATAGGAATATGGTGGGAAAGTGATTTTGGCATGAAAGTTTAAAAAAAATTGTTTGGTATGCCGAAATATTATCGGAGAAATTGGGTTAAATTTTCTGAGTGTATGTTTGGTTGAAGGGAAAATATTGATGAAAAAATTGGTTAAAAATACTAAAGTAACCCTTTTTTATACTTATTGAATGTGAATATATATATAACATAAAACCCTTTATTAAAAATGGTATTTTTTCTCTTCTTGTTTTCAGATTGAATTCTGAATCTGGAAATCATGATTTGCCCTGCAATTTCTTCTCAGAACTCATTTAAAGACACAGTGAACTTCAGTTATGTCACTGTTTACAGCTCTACCGGGTCATATTAACTCGTGGGTCACTGATTTTGTTAAACTCGGCCGATCTAACGCGGTTTACGCAAGTTCATTGACATGGCCGATCCGTTTCCCTGCACGAACAACATTGGTCCAAACTAGTAACCAATCTCCAATAACTGAAAAACAAAGAAAAAGACTAGAAAGCAAACTCCCACACAAGTCAACCAACCACTAAATACCTGATCACAAGAACCAAGTACCAAATGCCATAGTTCCAAAAACTGCAAAAGAGGCCATCTTTGCCCTCATACTTGAGGCTCATCATTTGTTTTCGACACCAGAATTCTAATGCCATTAGTAAACCCACATTCATGGTGAACACAGTCATGAACCAATTTCTCCTTGTAGATAAGAAGTATGAGAAAGAAAGGGGTATTTTGGTCTGCATTTGCTTGCCCTTCTTACCATTTAGCCGGTTAACTACAAATACCATCTTCGAAGTGGTCTTTCAGAACAGTGTTTTCTACTCTATTGTACAAGCATTTTTCAAACGCTAGACAAATATGTTTGCTGGCGAAATGTTTCAATATCCTGTACCAAGCATGGACTACACAGAATACCAAAGTCAGATGCATGGGAAAATATTTCAATATCCTGAACCAAACACTACCTTAGTCTACTCAATATTCTATATGGGTGAACAAATTCACTGGACCCTGAGTGAACAGAGATATTATGAACCAAGCATTGATTCTACCCTAAAAAATAAATAAATAAAATAAAATAATAAAAATAAACAAATATTTTGATGTAATTTCCTGGTATAATATTAGCTAATCAAATAATTCATGGAAGTCTGAACCTTGGAAACGATTCAAACACGAACTGCATGTCCGCGACCATAATCCCTCGATTTTGTGAAGGAAAGTCAGCCAAAGAATTAGTTCAATTTGCTGGCCACTAGATTCTGGTGAGGGGAAAGAGTCCAAACAAACGCATTGGCCACAGAAACCCTCTTTTTGCTTGTAGAACATAGTCACAGGGCGCAGTGCCAGTAATTAAACTCCTCTTTTTTTTTTTTCATCCGTAATACGCAGTTACGCACATATGTTGTCATCATTATCTAGTTTGTGAACTGGAGAATTGCAAAGAGGTAATTTGGTAAAGTCAGCCACACAGTCGCTATAAAAACTATATGCTCAGTTTGGTTAAATTTTATTCGGAATTATGTTCGGCAGGATATTTGTAAACTGGAATTAAACACAATCAAGCTCTAAAAAGGCATTCCGCAATGATATCTCCTGCTAAAATGGAATGCTTTATATAGTGTCCATCATCATACAAGCTAATAGATGGATATAGCCAGCTGTAGCTCAGCATTTCATTACTTTCTTCAAAACAAGGTCTCTTACAGAGAGTGGTAGATGGTACATGATAGCCATGAAGGTAGAGTAATGCCCATAAGAGAACCATGCAGGTGGTTTCTTCTTAAGGATGGCAGCTACAGTGTTTTTAGCAAACTCGTCCGTAGGTGTAGACTTGGACGTTTGAGATAACACAGCTCTTTCTCGGATTGCTGCTTCATAAGGCTTGAATAAGTTCCACTGAGCCATGCGGTTGTAGCTGGCTATAGCAGAATCTCCAATATTTGACTTGATAGCTCCAGGGACAACATTGACAACATCAATTCCAAGAAGGCCAAGTTCCAATCTGTATATGACATGTGCATGTAGAAAATAAGAACAATTAGAATGACAGATAATATAAATGACAAAGTCAAACAAATAGAAAATGTAAATAATTGCCAGATTTCAGCCACCAACTCCCATATGGTGTATTGTTACATGACAAAGCAGCAGTTTCTATAAAAACAAGGTGGATTTCTGTCGCCAATACTGTTTCCTTTAGTTGATTTGATGCAGACATGAACAATAAGTCAATGCAAGTTTGAAGAAGAAGAAAACCTTAATGTATCTGTCAAAGCATGAATAGCAGCTTTAGAAGCAGTGTAAGTGCCTGACCAAGGTCCAGAGGCCAAGGCAGCTACACTACCAATGTTCACAATTTTTCCCTGTTTCCTAGTTGCCATATGAGGAACAACAGCCTGAACCATTCTCAAGGAACCTGCGTATGCCCAATGAAATATAAAATCTAGTTAAAAATGCAATTGAAGGTCTTGAATACTAGATAGACATTGACCAAGTAATGCTATGCTCTTCAAAATCACATTGAAGTTTCTCGTGCACCACACCAAGATGAATGAACAGGACATAAAATTCCAAAAGACTGATCTCACACTACTATCATTCCTCATTTTTGGGCCATGAAAAAAGGAGATAGAAACCAAATCGCTTGCATTCTCCAAGAGAACACCAAAATCTTTACAAAAGGCAGGTAACTGGTTCTCTTGCGACAGAACCTTTTAGATAACAATATGAAATGAAAACAGCATCAATTACTGTAGTGAATCAAATAATATTCAAGCAGAAACACAGAGATGCCCAAAAGATTCATTTAGAGTGGCTTAGCAAGGAGTAACTACAGTCTACAGCTGGAGAAATTCTTTAGCATAAATCTGTTATCTGTGTACCCAAGTTGAGTGTAGTATACTAATATATTATTAACAAATCATTAAGATATCTAATCATTCATTATGATAGTTAAGCATTGATTAATAATGGGTCAATCATTTATTGACCTACTGTAAATAACTGGGGTACAGCAGGTTTATGCAGGAATCTCTCCTGCAGCAGCTGCACACCTCTCATTCCTGTGTAGTCGGTAACACAAGGAGAACTTAACCAGATCAGAAATACATATCATCATTGAGCAGCATCTCTAACCCATTTGGTTAATCTAATGTGACAGATTAACAACTCCTTCTGCGAGTAATGTGCAAAACATAAATCTCTATTCTCTATCTACCTATAACATCAATCAAACAAATATTGGTTTTCGTAGTATCAAAATTACAATATAACCAAACACCGAATTAGCAAATAAGAGTAAGGAGAATTAAGTTAAAAGAAAAAAAAAAATTTACTTTAAAGTGAGCTTGTATCTGAATTGTTGACTGGCATGACTCATGAAGCTGCTAACAGACTGCTGAAAATCAGTTTTTCCAATGCTATCTTTTAGGCAATAAATAGTCAAAGTTGCTGTTAAGATCTATTTTTTAGGCACGTACATGATATTTGATATGTTTATCAAGTAGCAAATTTTTCTGCAATTCAGTCCTTTTTATACTATTTGATATGCTTATGACAATATCCTTGTTGGCACAACAAAAGCAAAATGAAATATTGGTATGGCAGCAAAAATATGCAAAGTTCTCAAGAAGTTCAACATGGAAGCGTGCAAGAGTGAAACCGATAAAAGTTCACAACTAAGGTCACTCAATTTTTGAGCAAATAATAAAGAAAGAGGATACTAACCAAACACATTGGTGTCAAAAGTGTTTTGTATGGCAGTGAGTGGGACTTCGGCAAGTGGGCCCACACACTGAACTCCAGCATTATTCACAAGCACATCAATCTGATCGTATTTCTCTACAACATTCTTCACCACGCGCCGCACGCTTTCATCGGATTGAACATCGAGCTCTTGCAAGAAGAACCTATGGTCGTGCTCCAGGTCCGCCATGCTGGACACCGACCTGCTGGTGGCCACCACCGTGCACTTCTTGGCAGCGAAGGCGCGTGCAAGCGCGTTTCCTATCCCTCCCTGAGAGCAACCCGTTATCAGAACCACCGGTTTAGGTTGCTCCTCCTCATGTCCACGCTTCTCCATACCATTCCCCATTCAGAGAGACACCAATTATTATGTTACAACCACCTCGGAAGAGTGGATAAGATTTATAAGGCTGCGTTTCGTTAGAAACGATGAAGTGAACGTACGCTAATTTTAAGAGAGACATAGACAGGGATATAAAAATTTGAATTTTAAATTAAAAAAATTACTCACTTTCTCTCTTTCCCAGTCATGATTTCCGTTTTTTTGGATCTATCTCTCTCCTAAAATGACATAACTTATGTTATTTAAAATGACAAACACCAAACCCTTATATATATATATATATATATATATATATATATATATATATATTTTTGGAGATCATTTATATTTTATTTTGTTTAAGTATTTTCTTACATATACGGAAGGGTTACTTTTTATGAAATAAATATTTTAATAATTTTCAATTTCTTAACTAATTTTTCCTAATATTAATTGTACATAGTAAAGTATTCAATAATTTATATAGATACATTTTTTGATATTTTCTAAATAAATATTAAATAATTATTTAAATGGTTAATATTTTTGCTGCAAATCAAAGAAAAGTTTATCTATCGTAGGTGGAATTTATTTTTTCATTTTCTCACCTATTTCCTCATAAGATTAGAAGTGATCCTCTTAGATGTTATTTAATATGATAATGTTATACCAAGGACTATAATCATATAAGGATAAATCAATTAAATGAGAAAGAAAAAAAATACAAGGAGAAGTTATAAATTATCAAAGTTGATTTGTTCTTTAATAATTAAGATCTTCTCGTATGTTATGATCATGTTAAATAACATATCAAAGAATTATTCTCCACATGATTTTATTGCAACAAATAAAGTTATTTTTATTAAAATATTATTATAAAAAATGTTATTTTAAGTGAAAATCATATTTTGGTATGTTTATATTATCTCTCTTTTTCATAATATATATTTTTTTCTCTCTTCTTAATTTTATAAAAAGATAATATAAAAAACCATCATATATATATATATATATATATATATATATATATATATATATATATATATTAAATATAAATTTTACTTAAATGATATAAAATTATGAGTGTTAAAATAATAAATTATTTTTTTAATTAAAAAAATTATTTTGTGATTTTTTTTAAGGGGTTATTGAAATCCCAATCCTAAGTTTGCAAGAGAAGCTTCAAGATCCACACTTTTGAAGTTCAGGAATCAACGTGGCACGCGCTCTGCTCAGTTATCTTTTTCCACGCTGAAGTAAGAGAAATATTAGTCTCCTTTTACATGAGGTAGCTTATATCATTTTCTCTCACTTCGATTTTTGCACCTCACTTTTTTTTTTCTTTTTCTTTTTTCTTGTAATGGTGGAACCCAGTCCTTGTCGCAGTAGTGAGTAGGTGATCCAACACAAGAGATCAAAGACGCAGCAGATTCATATACTGACCTTAGTTATATAGATCGTTTACCTAGGTACAGAATGAGACCCACCTAGTTTCTCTCTACAACATAAGATACCTATCTTATGTAAAAGGAGATTAATAAAACCCTTGAAGTAATTAGGGTGAAAGAGGCCTGTTGAGGAAAAATATAAAACGAAAACTATTCAAAGATTGCAAAATTAATATTGTTGGATTAAAATTAAAAAATTATATAATTAAAATATAAATGTGGCACTGTATACCGAATTACTTAAAATATAATTAAATTAATTTTAAATAATTACAAAACTACTCAAATAATTTTACGTGAATCAATTACTTTGCTTGTTTAGATTTTGTTGTCTTGACGCCAAAAAGTAACGTTGCCTCTTTGGCATTATAATATATTTATTGTCTTCTAAGTAAATAAAAAATATACATGGTTAGTAACTTGTGATATCTGCATCACTTACATAGTTACACGACTTTTCTATGAGATGAACAATTAAAATTGCTCAAAATAATATCACGATAATATATAAGAAATTGTCTATATTGAGGCATCAACTCTGCACTTACGGACTTTGTTGCCTTTTCGTGACCTTTAAATAACGTGGCCTTTTCGATCGGTTTTATAATATTTTTCTTATATACAGACGTATGATCATTACGCTTCAACAAATTATTCTATTCCACCTATCAGGCTAGTAAAAAGAAAAATCACAATGTGTAAAGTATTGATACATGTTAGAGGTGGGGGAAGCGGGTTTAACTCGTTGTTGGTTCGTTTAATCCCATATATGGTTGGTTGGGTTGGGAGTCACAATTAGACAATTAAATAGACGATACGACATAGGAGTTTATAATCTTCTTACCTTTGGTCTATTTAGAAAATAAAGCATTTTTAGAAAATAAAGCATTTTTAGAGAACTGTTATAATCCAATCTAAAAGCCGTCGAGTAGGGGTATTCATCAATTGTTCTAAACCGATTCAAACCGCGGTAACCGATCCGAAAAATCGATAACCGAATAAATCGAAAATCAAAAAATCGAAAATTGAAAAAAATTGTAAATTTTAATTGGATTGGATCGATTTTCGGATTAGTTGATGAAAACCGATCCAATATATTAATTTTTCTCTTCCTACTCGGTCTTTCCCCAATCATAGCCCAAAAATTTTTAAGCCCTAGATCCATTAACTCATCAATTAAATCCAAGAAAAAACTTAGTCACATTTCATCAACAAAATTTTATCTGTGTAGAACTTCATATATCTCATTGTGCAAAAAAAGAATTATATTATCGTTTACTGATGCTTTTGTATTTCAAATTTATTTTTTACAAAGGCAATATATACAAAAGATATTATGTGTATAATAATCATGAACAAATTTTAGGATTTTCGAAAAATCAAAAACCGATCCAATCCAAACTGAAAAAAATTGGTTGGATCGGATTTGAAAAAAAAATCAAACTGAATAGATGATTACATGATCAAACCGAAGAGATTGGATCAGATGATTTTTGCTTCCAAAATCGATCCAATCCAGACCGCAAACACCCCCTACCATCAAGTTGACCTTTTAATTTTTTTAATAAAATAATATATTTATGAAGGTTGTTAATAGCAAAGAAAAGTTCCTAAAAATAATTATTTTATGTATTGTTATGAACATGATTTAAAAATCTTTGTGATCTCGTAAAAAAAATGTTTGAGAATTTTATAATTTGAATTCTTATTAGAAACATTGTTTAATGAATGAGATTTTTTTTTAGTTTGGTTTGCAACTTTGTAAGTTGGCGCTGAGTTAGTGGGGTTGGATATGTGTTCGATTCCCGCTGAATGCATTCTTGGGGAGGGGGCTGAACCTTTAGCCATCACTATTCTCCCGCACTCCGGATTAGTCCCATAGCCGGCTCAAAGAGTCGAAGCTCGTGGCGATACCGGAGGGAGCCAACTCGTCTCAAAGAGATAATTAGGGTTGGGTAACTCCAAAAAAAGAAAAGAAAACCTTATAGGCCATGTTGGGCTTTTCTTTTTTTTACAACAAACAAGTATTTCACATTAGTTTGGGGTCAAAACATATTGAACCTATTGCGAGATGGGTTGTTTCATCATTTTTTGTTATAAAACAATAATCATTAATTATTGTACACTTATCTGATCCTTATTTGATATTTTTTATTTCTCTAGTCAACACAAGTTTTAATTTATTTTTTTTCACATTTTTAATATATAAGCAGGTTGGTAGTGCTGAATAAAATTTTCTAATCCATTTTAAAAATTGGAGCAAGTCATGTTGTGTTGGTCTTGGAAAGATTCGGAGCGTATGAAGACTACGATGTGGCTGATCCTCCCTAATAGACTCCGAGTCAGAAGCAGAACGAGCAAGTGGAACGAGGGGACTAACTTTTGCAGTGACAGTTCCAACAAGGAAGAATCCATTTTACATGTCCTGTGGGATTGCAAGCATGCCCAGAGCATTTGGAGGGACTGGTTCAATGAGCGCGTGCCTTCAGATATTTTTTCACCTTAGACGTTCATGAGTGGCTGCGTAGGAATGTTAATAATGCATGGAGCAGAAATATTCAATCTGACTGGAGAGATGTTTTCTTCCCTTCGTGCTGGTTTCTTTGGTCCTAGCATAACCAAAGTATCAATGGCAAAAGCTTTCCGAGGTCATATAGAGGTAATATTGTGATTGCTGATTCTATTTCTCAGATTATTGCAGTTAGGAACAAGAAGATGAAAATCCAAGGTAGCGACTCTAATGACAACCATCCTGGTGAGTGGCGGCCTCCATTGCAAGGTTGGATGAAGATCAATACAGATGGTGCATCTTCATACTGAAGAAAGGAAGCTAGTGTGGTGGCCTTATCAGAGACCATAATGGAACCTCCCTAGCGGTTTCTTCCTCAAACTAGGCTATTATAACCCTTTAGATGCAGAGCTTTGAGGTATTCTTAAAGGCATGGAGTTGGCCTAGGGGACAGGTGCTAGACAAATAGATAGGGGTCTTCGTGGTCTGAATTGGATCGAATTTGAAGCAAAAATCATCCGATTCAATTTTTTCGGTTTAATCATCCATTCGGTTTGATTTTTTTAAAATCTGATTCGATCCAATCCAATTTTATTCGATCTGGGTTTGATTGGTTTTCAATTTCTCAAAAAGTCTAAAATTTCATCCATACAAATCACTAGCTATATCAAAATAAAGCCATATAAAGTTATAAACCACTGAAAAATTCAAGTCTTCAAACTAAAACAAATCCTAAAACTCAAGAAGAGTTGAAATCGATTAATAGACAATAAAAAATAAAAAAACAATATAGTTTGCTATCAATAACATCTAAGATTCCAAGTCTACAAAATAACAAAATTTCAAGTCACCGTCTTTCAAAAATAATAAGTACATAATACATTGGATCTCAATTTTCACCAACCAAACCGAAAATCCATCCAATCCAATTAAAATATGCGTTTTTTTTATTTTCAGTTAATTCAGTTATCGATTTTTTGATTCAGTCACCGCGATTTGAATCGGTTGATAAGCACCCATACAAATAGAAGTGGATGCGATGTTTTGAATGCCATCACCTTAATTCAATCCAACCAAAACAACCCAAGAAATTCTCAAGTTGTCACTCAAATTCAGAAGTTGATTAC